TCGACGCTAAGCATCAGTGCGACACCCATATATCTAAATTAGCAAGCAGACTAAGCTCTGCAGCTTATGCTGTAAAAAAGATTAGAGCACTCACTAGTATCAAGACAGCTAGATTAGTTTATTTTAGTTATTTCCATAGCATAATGTCATATGGGATTTTGCTATGGGGGAATGATTAGAATTTAATTTTTTTTACAATTTATTTATTTAAGTTTGAAAAGATTTAGAAACTATTTTTATTTTACAGAAGAGGGCCATAAGAGCTATTTACAATCTTAAACCGAGAGTGTCTCTTACAGAAAATTTTAAAGAAATAAATATATTAACTTTGGCCTCTCAGTATATCCACGAAAATTTAATATATGTTCAGAAAAACAAAGGTAGTTTTGGTAAAAAGTGATATACACTCTGTAAACACTAGGAACAAACACAAGCTGGTGATACCAGTTTCTCGACTCCACAGAATCAGTAATTCACTCTTGGGGCAATGTATACGCTATACAACAAAGTCGTCAAAGAAAATATCAATAAAATGAAAAGAATATATACAAGGTTTCTCTTTTAAGAATTTTAAATATTTAATTAAACAAAAAGTCTATAAAAAGGGTTATTATAATATAAATGAATACCTGGTTGATAATAACCCCTGGGAATGAGGTGGTCGCTACCAAGCTGTTTCTAAAATAAATTTTGTAAATATTTTGTAACATTAACATTGTGAAATTTATTTAAAAAAGTCCCTCTGGGTTTCTTGCTGGTTCTTCCCTGGAGAAGGTTTTTTTTTTCGAACCAGTGGTAAAGTAAACAACGACTTTCAATAAGAATTAAATGTAATCTGTATTAAATAAAAAACTTTTTTGACCTTTAAAACTTGATCACACCTTGATTAAAACTATTTTTACGGATTTTATCGCGTTTAATTTCAATTATTTTTATTTTTAATTCCCGACCTTCGGGTGCTTTGATCACGCCTATTAAAGATGATCCTTGGCATTGATTTATATATTACACTAGATCAGTAATAACCACGCCAAAGCGTTGCCACTACACATATGGCCACAACCATATGCCTAGCTGACGTTAGTTCAGTGTTCAATGTGACGCCGACAGAGTTGAGCCGCGACAAAAAATGGGTAAATGCGTAATGCTATTCAAGGTCACAAAAACGTAATGAATCAAACGGAATCACTTTCAACGCATAATTTTTAATTTTTGTTTTCATATAAACGTAAAAAAACCTCAAATAATTAAATAAAATTATTGAATATTGCCATGTAGGTAATTATTATTATTTTATTGCCACTTTTCCGCATTTGCGATTATCCTACATTAATGGGAGACTATATAATTAATGGAGTAAGTGTTAATTTGTTACCTCTGATTTTAAATATTTTGGAAAATATAATAAAAACTACGTTTTAACTTTCATACAAATTAATTAATTATTATTTAGTTTATTCACGAATTATCTATTAAATATATTTTATTACCTATTTTATATTGTTTTATTTATTAGTACAATAAAAATACTTATAAAAATATGTTTTATTTCATCACTATGTTTACTTCTATTCATCTGATAAGCTTTGTATCATTTTTTTCTAAGGGGCGCAATGAAGATTTTAAAATAAAATGTACTTTTTTAATATAAAAAAAATTAACTGCTGCTTAAAAAAACTGATTTTTATTGCTTATTTTAGGTAAAATTTCATATAGTAAGCCACACCAACCCGCCATTGCATGTTTGTGTGTCTATCTTTATCTAATCTTAGCGACGATATTGTTTTCGCAATATGTGTAAGTGAGATAGATATATGTTAATTTAAAATTGTTATTAGTTTCAAAGCATAGTGTTGTATAACTCAATGATCCTCGAACCTTGAAACCAAAGCAGTTGGGTTTTCTATAAAGAAATTCTCAGTAGCAACCCGGAGTCAAGAGTTTAGCAGTTTTTCGTCCCTATGCATCAGAAAGCACGTTTAATCTGTATCCTATAATATGAAAAGCCGTTTTATGTGTATCTGATCTCAATATATTTTTGTCTGATTACTAACACGGATACAATCATAAATAGAGAATTTTTTATATTCCGCATATAATGACCAACAAGGGCCGATTTTTGTTAAGTTCTGTAGTAGGTATTATTCATAATTTCGTTTTATGGATTTCCCCACCACTATATAATTAAAAACCATTTTTCCGTGCAATTCATGTGGTTTTAACATTTTAAGGTGAGACATTAGGAAAATTAAATAAAACCAATTGCATTATTTTAAACTTAAAGTATTCGTATTCATTTTAAAGTTACAAAAATCATTTAATAATTTTTCCCTATACAAATATGATATCACTGAATGAATAATCTGCACAACACCATCTATCGATGACATTGGTTAACTAAGATATTAGGATTTGATTATTTTTTATAAATATTTATTACGTTATTCTTTATTATTTTTATTTATTGCGTTTAGATACAATTATATTATAGAATACTATTTTACATTATTTAATTGCATTAGTGTCCTTGATCACTCAACGCCACCTTTTAATAAATTCGTACCTATACTTAGGTTTAATCGTACCCATAATTCAGAATATTAATTATAACTTTTGATAGGATGAACCAATTTTTAATAAAACTAAGACTAAATTTAAAACGAAGATACGCTTCACAATTTTCCTAACGATTATTTTGATATAAATCAGTACTTTATACATGATACGTTAATAAACAAACAGACAGACAGACAATTCTAAAAATAATAGAAAAGTATTCAATTACTTATTTCTAGTCCCTCTCAATCAATTTTGTTACAAAAATATAAACTATACAGGCATCCGCAATTTACATATTTATTATATGTATAGATTTTTTATGTATTTTTTTAATTATCTTCTACTGCAACTAATTTTTCTCGATATGACAAAGTCACCACCAGTCAAATTCATTGTTTTGGAGGGTTGCAATGTTTTAGAAGATTCACATTTTATCAGCTCATTGAACAAAAACTTAAATTGTTTTAGTTTCAATTTTCAAGGTATTAAGCTTGATTTTCTAAGCGAATACTAAACTATCATAAAAAATATTTGTTTCGCACGTATAACATGTTTTATCAGATTAGCAACACAGATGCTAAAAATATAAGTGCATGAAACAAATAAGATTACTTCTTTTGTTATGGTGATAAGGTAGCTTTTCTAGGTATTTTTGTTATCAATTTTATCAGACACCAGGGTATTAAAGAGTTTCAAAATCATCGATAACGGATGTAATGCAGTGTACACAAAAGGATAAGGCGCTAAAGTTTCGAGGAATATTATAAAATATTATTAGTATGAAATATTTGTTTACCTACGTACTTATTGCGATAAATTTATTGAATAAAGATAAAGAAAATCAGTTAAGTTTTGCAGTACGAGTATGATTGCAAAAAAAATTTCAACTTGCTATTTAATTTTTTTAACTATTCTAAGCCAGTGCTTGATAATATCACAACTTATGGTAAGTGATGATGCAGCCGAAGATAGTAAAGCGCATTGACTTATAATAGGAACTGATTCCCGACACACAGCTATTGCTAGTTCGGGAGTCAGGGCTTCAACTTTGTAGTGTCAATATGGTTTTGAATAAATTTATTATTATTATTATTATATAATATATTTCATAATTTTCTTGAGAGTTGTAGGCACGGAAATTAGGAATATAGATATGTATGATTCATGTCAATTGGTACAGATCCACTCTGTGGCTATGGCTACTCTGTGAATCTGACTGTGAGTCACAGAGTGGATCTGCAAGAGAGTTCTGCCCATGTGGCATGAATGCAGAAAGCCCACCCTGCTGGTTAACTCACTTCATAAATTAGTCATAATATTATTATATTCATAATTTATAAGAAAGTCATAAATCAAATGCAGCAAATTTCGCCAATATTTGTCACAAAAATCTGTACAGTTATATATAAATATAATCTCATACATTGTTTTCAAATTGAATAATGTCATAAATTTCGCATGTAGTTTGCGCACAGCATTTCCATTATTATATTACAAACAAGTGACCAAGGATATTAATTTTTTACGTTGGTGTAAAAAGTTATTATCCTTGCATGTTAATTTAATATTTTTTTAAAACCGGAATTATTGTATATAAAAGAAAACAATGACAAATTTGCAGATATGTCTTTTTCGTACTTGTTTTAGTAACATCCTCTTTTTAGACATACAATATTGATAAACGCTATGAAACTCATCAAAAACAAGTTGACAAACAATAATCACATACAGTTCGCCGGCGGTATTCAGAAGGTTTTACGCATGCAAACAAAATAATTATTTGTTAAAGACTAACTGTTAACCAATAATAGGAACAAAAGAGATGTGTTTTATCATAATAACCATTATTGCTTCAAGAGATCTTGGGATTAATTGAGATATGATTTAAGTATCGTTTTTAAGAAACGCACAGTAACAAAAATTTCGGCTATCTATTGATGCGATTCAAATAAGAATAGGAACGTCAATGACCTCGAATACTGCGATCTGTCAACTGTCTCTTGAAAGTATGGCTTGCAATGAAAATTTATAATCGTATTAATAACGTTTTTTTTTTTCACTTTATTTAACTGAGTCGTATTGTTACCAAATCTACAGAGCTCATAATTATTTTTATAAATTAATTTAAACTATTGTACTATTGAGACATGTAAATTTAAAAAAAATTACATACATTAATCCATGTTCTAGTTTTATAAGGAAAAGCAGCAGTGATGATAATGATGACTACTCAGAATAAGTGATGCCGAGATGAGCGAAATTAAAATGTTAGTTTCAGATTATTACTCGCAGTTCTACGTTCTTTTGTAAATAATTATAATTACAAAAATACTTGTTTTGCTTACCCTACCTAACTGGTTTGAGTTGACAGCTATGACATCACAAAATGATGCCAGGTCAGTCTTATTCTTAACTGAAGCTCATTGTAAAAGTGAACTCACCTTTAACCACCTCGGTGTTTTGTAGATTTTGCGTTACAGAAACAAACTTTGGTCCAATGTGAACGCGGGAGGACTTGGTAACACTGAGGTTACCAACATTAGGTGTAGCTGTAGAGGTAGTTGGAAAGGCTCCATCTATGGGCACTACCTCTGAATTTCTACTCCAGCGGACCAGCGGCGCTCCGGGTTGATCATGGCTATGATCATCTCCAGAAATCCACATCACTGCCACTTACAGTCACTCAAAAGTTAAGAGGTTTTGGTTTGCAAAATTAATTTTCAAATTATTTATGACGTTTTCCTTTGGTGTCTTTAACGTGACTGGCTTCGTTCCCTGTCGCAATATGTGTAGTGATAAACGTAAACATTTGAGTGCCACAGTGTAGCGTCTTCCTACGTGTGCATAGAGATAACAATGCGAGCAGGAATTCATATTGTGTATCTCTTTTGCACTTATCTGTTTCGCATATAATAAGTCGATATCAATTATTAATTTTGCATTAGCAAAAGGCGGTTCCACAGTCCGTCGACGTCTTCATTATAGGCTATAATCCACTGCTGAACATAGGTCCATAGGGTTTTGCTGATACTTTAATTAAATATATGAACAAACAGTGGCGTAGCTAGGTAACCAAGGGCTCCGGGGCAAATCAAAAAATGGGGCCCTACCTCTATTTAAACTGGTAAGGTTTTATTAAGTAAAAATATTAAATATACAAATACTTTAAAAATGCTAAGGTACTTTATCATCAGCTCTTTTTGTGCACTGCAGTGCAGGTAATAAAAATATTAAACAGTAACAACATAAATTACAATTAATACATCTTGGCAAATAAATCGAAATAGAAAAGATTCAGGGGTTTATTATATAAAGGTCGGACCTACCAACTAGCCGTGGCCAGGCTAAGAGCCGTGATAGCTCAGTGGTTAACGCTCGCTGTAAATATAACAGAACGCGAGTAACCCGGGTTCGATCCCCGCCGGCACCAATGAAATTGTTAATTGCAATTTTAAGTGCTGATTTACCACGTGCTTGGCGGTGAAGGAAAACATCGTGAGGAAACCTGCATGTCTGAGGAATAAGAAAAAAAATATTTCGAAGACATGTGAAGTTCGTCAACACGCATTTGGGCAGCGCGGCGGACACTTCATTGCCCTAAACCCTCTCAGAAATGAGGGGAGGCCTGAGCCCAGCAGTGGGACGTATATAGGCTGTAACTTTACTTTTACTTTACTACCAACTAGCTATGTAAATAACAATTATATCAACAATCTTTTCCTGGCTTTAGTTTTCGCAAAATTATCAATGACTTCGGTTAAATCCGGTCTTGACATGCGGTTTTGTTTTCAATTGCTATTATCGATAAATGTTGTAGTCTAGTTTGGCCCATACTACTTTTTAAATAATTTTTTATTATTTTTAATTTGCTAAATGACCATTCAGCTGCTGCAGAAGTGACAGGAATTGTAAAGGATAATAACACTGCTGTAAATACTTTCTCTAGGTCGTATTCTAGCACTCCATATTTACTCATTATTTCCTTACATAATTGATGAACAGTCCATGCTTGGGTTAATTGAGGTAAAACTAGGTGGTAAATATTAATAAATTGAAGTGAAAAGCTAGGACCTATTATATCTGAATATTTTCTTTGGAATTCGTCACACTTTTGTAATAAAGAATAGAAAATCGAATATTTGACTGACTCACTCACACCTGAATTCACAATAAAACGCACATCGATGAATAAAAAAACGTACATATCGCTATCCGTCAAATTGACAATATTGCCAACCCACAAAAAAAAATTAGGGGAATTCCCTAGGTATATATATATATATATATATATATATATATATATATATATATATATATATATATATATATATAACTTTCGAATTTATCTCAACTGAATTGCCATGATCAAAGTTGGGTTGCAACCTGTCATATTTATTTTGGAAATGGGAGAAATTTTCATAAGTTCAGTTTGATCGAGATTTTCTGGTAAGGATTCGAGGGCCCCCTGAGCTTGAGGGCCCCGGGGCACTGCCCCACCTAGCCCCTAGATAACTACGCCACAGTTAATAAACTAGCTGTGCCCGTGACTTCGTTCGCATAGAATATTTAATATTTTTGTGTAACCGGCTGTTCCGAAACAGGTGAACTGATTTGCATTAGTTATTCTATAAAGAATATGTGACTAATTGGTGATAGTTCTTAAATAGGTGTTATGGTGTTATTTCAACAGGGGGCGCTGAAATTAACATTTTTAGTGCAAGCGAATGTTTACAGTATCCCCGAAGCGGTTCAAACGATATAAATGCGATTTTCTGTACTTCTTTTAAATCCAATATGGCGGACTAGTTATTTTTATACACTCCAATAATATGTATTAAATGAAAGGGTTTGCTGAGAAAAATACGAAAAATAAAATAATGTTACTCTAAATTCAAGATGGCGGACTAGTTATTTTTATGCACTCCCATGATATGGTTATAGAATGCAAGAGGTCGCTTAGCAGAATACGAATAAAATGACATTCGTGTTTAGCTCTTCGAGGAGATGGTGTTACTACTGCCCGGCTAAACAGGGTTGCCGTTCTACAAATTTTAAAGTCCTTAGACTAACAGAAAAAATCCGTCAGAAACAGGATTTTTCTTTTTCTTAAAATCCGCTAGATGTCCCTAGGTACATTTTCGGGGTACCATTGTGCTAACTGAAAAATCTTGCCAAATGTTATACAATATATACCGAAAATCTAAATCTGTAAATTCAGAAAAATCTTAAAAAGGCGGATTCTATTTCATAAAAATCAGTTATTTATAGTGTAGGTTAATGACATGACAACCAAAATTATTCATGTACAAAATAAAAAATATTGTAAAAAAATAAATCTTTAATCTGTAAACCACGTTTAAACATTAGTCATCTTATTAAAAATAAATCAATTAGCTCAGTATGTTCTTTTACCTAAATTTCAAAATTAATAGCAAAGTATGGATCCAGATCCTCAAAAAGAACTTCAGCGGAAGTTGAAGCTTCGACAATGTCTCTAGTTCCCATTTTTGGCTTGCTTTTACCGACTTGGTTGACAAAATCTTCAGGAATAACATTGCGCAATTCTTTTTTTAATCCTTACCTGATTTCTAATCAGAATAATGGAATTTAAATTTTTTCTTACAGCTTGTTTCGCAGTTTGCTTTTAACTACGTTTATAGCACCAAATACGCGCTGAAATTCTGCATTTGAGTGCGGTAGTGATAATATTACTATTGCAAAATTACATAAATCTTCAAATATGTTTACTCCTACTGCATTTTTGTATGTCGAAACCTAAGACCATGGTCTAAGGTCGAAACAGATGAAAGTGAATGAACGACATTGAATTGTTAGTTTATGTTCGGGAATTCCCGTAAAACTATATTATATATATACAGTGTTACCAACGGTAGATTACAAAATTGGACATATGATAAACGACTTATTTGAAATGAATTACTTTATAAAAAAGTCGCCATCTCAAAGGTCCAAACGTCGCTAGAAGTCGCTAAATAATTATTTCTCGCTAAAACGACTTTTTTATCCGCTAAACATTGTTAAAATCCGCTAGATCTAGCGAGAAAGTCACTAAAACGGCAACACTGCGGCTAAACGGTAAGACCTAGCGGGGTCCTGTCTTAACTAATATCAACCTACAGCTTGAAAATTCTAATAGTGGTGAAAACATTCAAAATGGCGAAAAACAAGATGATCACCATATTAATTTTAAAGAGCTTTTCCCTGTCCTGAAATGAACCTAAATTTAGCATTTTTAGGGTTCCGTAGTCAACTAGGAACCCTTATAGTTTCGCCATGTCTGTCTGTCCGTCTGTCCGTCCTCGCTAAATCTCTGTGACCGTTAGAACTAGAAAGCTGAAATTTGGTACCAATATGTGTATCAATCACGCCGACAAAGTGGTAAAATAAAAATTGGAATAAAATGTTTTATTAGGGTAGCCCCCCCATATCTAAAGTGGGAAGTGATTTTTTTTTTAATTTCAACCTAACGTGTGATATATTGTTGGAAAGGTATGTATTTAAAAATGAATAGGAGTTTACTAAAATCGTTTTTTGATGATGTCAATAATTTCGGAAATAATCGCTCCGAAAGTAAAAAACAATGTGTCCCCCCCCCCCTCTAACTTTTGAACCATAAGTTTAGAAATATGGAAAAAATCTGAAAAGTAGAACTTTATAAGGACTTTCTAGGAAAATCATCTTGAACTTGGATGGAAACAACAGTACCCACTACCGGGAGCAGTTGCAGGAGTGCGGAGCGCTGCTGGAGCGCGAACATAATGGATACCCACCTTTAAACTCATAAGTGGGAACACTTATTGTGACGGACGGGAAACTACGGAACCCTACACTGAGCGTGGCCCGACACGGTTTTTTATGAGTTTGCGACTAATTGAAATGAGACTTTAATAAATGTAATCATTAACTGATATAATTTCTGCATCTCTTAGATTTTCTATATTGAATTTGCAAGAATGCAATGATAGGCCCGACGTATTTTCTTGGGTTTGTAATTATATTGCCTAATAGGTAGGTGAATATGTTTAGTACCTGTATTTGATATTATAGCTGTGTATATGAAAGGTAGGAAGTCATAATTAGTTGTTTATTATGACAGACCTCGACCCTTTTTAAAACAATTTTTTATTTTCATTTTTCGTGACTTACTTCTTTTAAGTCGGGGGTTTTTCAAAGATTTTATTTATTTCGTAATTTTTAATTTTGCTTTTTATAATACTTATTATTTCTGTCATGAAACCGATCAAGTGCCTGTATGATTTTTAAAACCAACGACGTTGATTATATTTAAACAGATTTAAGTAACGTAGATATGCACACCTATGATATAAAAAAGAAACTAAACGAGATATTTAAAATTATTCTAATTTGTAAAAAAATAGAGTTAATTTATGAAAACATAAGGAGGTAACGCCAATTCGTTTGACATTTAGTAGCGGCGTAAATTATTCCATCACTTCTCTACATTCCATGGATGTAGGCGACTATGAGAAGTACCATAAAATTCTAATGACTTTTGATATATGGCACCATAACCAAATCTGTTACATCAGAGCCAGACATAAAATATCGAGTCTGACTATAGACAGCTACGTCCAAGGTGAGATATGTATTGTATTGAATTATCAGTCTGCTAACCGTGACAA